TAAAGTTAACAAGGGAAGGAATGGAAGGGTTCTCCGCCATAAACATCTTCCCCTTAAGGGATCCAACCTTAACATTACTGAAGATGGCATGCAACCAAGTGCTCAGAAAGACAATTTTCCGGGCAATAAATCTGCTTCATCTATGGTCGTTTCCATCCTTGTAGATCCCAGAGAGGCTGGAGATGCTGATATCGATGGAATGATTGCACCTAAGTCACTTTCTCGTATTTTTGTTGTCGTGCTCATGGACAGTGTCAAATATGTCACTTACTCGTGTGTCCTTCCACGCTCAAGTCCTCATCTGGTGACTGCCTGAGGAAGGACAAATAGTTGAAGCAACGTCACAAGACTATACCTGACTCCTGTTCCCAGTTCTGTAAATTAAATGGACAATAAAATTAGCCAGCTTCAGTAGCATCATTGTTAATGACTGGGACCCTAACTAACTCTCGTTTGATGTTCTGTTGAGTGAGTAGTTCAGACCTTTGGCTTGAGTTTTAGAGTACCAGATTACTAAAATACTAAGATACTGATGTAGTTGGTAACAGGTGGAGTGACCAGTATATTGATGGTGCTTACCTACTGAATACTTCCGTGTAATTTTTTATATCGACTAATTTTTAATACAAGTTTACGAGAATGCATACTTCACATATATGTGTTTGTGCGTGTTCTCTCTCGGGGATGTTGCAGATTTCTCTGGTTGCTTTAGATGGTAAGACGGCAAATAGTTTGGCTTTTGATAAACAGGATTATATACAAAAGTTGGATATCATAGAGGGAATTACTTCGCCAATGCCTTGTCATGTCTGGCATCCTCTACTGATCACGTTACAAAAGTATGTCTTTTTGGGGAAAAAAACTTGTCATGTCACACCTACTATTTTCATGAATTATGATATCTTTTTTGAAGAAAATATATCACTTGAAACATGTTTTGTAAGAAAAATATCACTTGGTGACTTCAAAATCTACTTTGTTTTTTGGAAAAATACAGCAGGGTCTCATAAGTTGTAAGATATGACTTGCTACTTGGTGACATCAAAATTTGAGAGAACAAACAGGCAACTCCAAACTCTGATGTAGCAGGTAAATATGAGAAAAATACTTGTTGGATTAAAATTTTTCCCACTAGACCGAGCAGGGAGGAGCGACGGAGCGTCCAAAACTATTACTTTATTACAATCTCTGTAATGTTTTCATCGAGCAGTTCACTAATAACAAGGACAAATTGATTGTTTTTAATGATCTAATTTGCCGCTGTGAATAGCCTGAAAAGAAAAATACTGCAGTAGGCTTTCCAGTGCATGGTATAACAGCTTCATAACAAACATAGTTGGGAATGACATGATTGGCTAGATGAAGGAAGAAAATGCCGGCAGGTGAAAAATAGTTGCGGATGCATATTTTCCAAAAGTTCACGTCTGACAGCAGGCTATAAGGATACAGCAAGTACGCAAATCACATGTTCGTGCAATCAGATACAAGAAAAAAAAAACTGTGATAACACGGCAGAAACCGAACAACCATGCTGATTCAATTGTAGGAAGACAATGGTTCATTCCTGTGAACTGCAGTCCATCATCTGAATTGGAGGGGCAGTGACCATAGCCAGATTTGTATTAGATGAATTGGAATCACTAGCTCTTTCTCTAATCTCTCTATACTCTTGGCAAATGGCACATAAATGGCAAAAAAAGTGAGTAACAAAGTCCCCACATGGTGCCTCCTGCACAAGAAAAAGACAATTTTAACTAGTAAAATAACTGTTGTGGGATTTGGGAAAAATAATAATAGTAAAACACTGAGCTTCATCAAATGTATGAATGGTTATGTAACTCTTATTGAGCTGGGTCGCGTAAGACAAGTGAAACCAACTCCCTTACTCTAGTGGCTTTATAAAAGCTGGTTAAAATAATGACGGGGAAAATACTTGCAGGACACATGGAAGCACTTTAAGCTTGTGATGGTGTTCCTCCTGTAGGTGAACCAGAAATTAAAGTATTGTTGATCAACCAAGTTTTATAAGAGATTCTCTTACCGGAAATTTAGGAAGAAAAATTGTATTCTTAAAGATTACTTGTAATAGTTTGTGCGCGAAATAACCTGCCATAGGCAAGAACGTTTCAATGTTGAAGTTGTTTGAATAATTCAGCATATAACATGGATATTATTAGACTGTTGCTGGCCTTAGCAGGGTAGTTTCTATTCCTAAGAAGGCAGTCAGTTTGTAATTGACAGACCTATATAATTGGGTTCTGTCCTACCTTATGTATGTTGGAAGTTTGTCCTAAGGTTTCTTACGTACTTAACTATGTTCTCTTTTAATGATCCCTAGTATTCATATTCAACATAGGTCCAAAGGGAAGAAAAAACCATAGATATCGTGTTCATCCCTAACAGATATCACCCTCCAAAGAGCTATAACTAGATCCTAGGACTGAAGCATTCCAGATGGTTCGTTTCCCTAATTAACAAACCAGAACTCAATTTTCAGGGAAAGAAGCAGGATGTCGTACAATAACAATTTGACGAGTGACCTTATGTTGTTCGTTTTCCTAATGAACGTGCTACAACTCAAATATCATTCACCAACAACTCAGCCTGACTAGGCATGTGAAAACTCATTTACAGCACATAACTGTTAAATGGTCTAACATAAAGGCCGTGCACCGTCTACTCAAATGACCTGCCCTACACGATGAACTCCACTATAATTTCAATCTTTGATTTGACAAATAGCATGAGTATTTAAGTCCCTAATCAGCAGCTCAAGTAGGAACACATGAGATGCATGTAGTTTACAGAAAGAACACAACCCCAAAGACTATACAAAGGAGAGAAGGAAAAAAACACCAATATGGTTAAAAGTGTATTCAACAATTACATACCTGCAAATTATATTTTGCTCGAAGTGACCTACGGTAGCCGCAGGCATAACATGAAACAAAGCATCCAGGTAGCCCCAACAAAAGACCATCAGTCAACAAGCAACAGACGGTGTTGACAAAAGCCCACAAAATAAAATGGGTGGTGCATGATCCCATCAAAGTTCCAGAACCCAAAAATTCCGCATTTTTCCCAAAAAGAAAACATGGGCAAAAAAGACCTATACAGCCTGTAGTTTAAGTAGATAACTACTTTCAGTCAATCTGGCCAATTAATTTCCTATTTTCTTTTCAATGCAAAAGAAATTAATCAAGAAAATATCCGATCTAGAAATGACTATAAAGCACAGAAATTAATTACTGCATATTGAAAGCAACAACCAAGAAAGAAAAAAAAAAGGAGTAAATCAAAAGAAGCAAATGACTGACAAAAATCCATCCAGTTCCAATGTCATGTCATAGCCAAAATTCCCCAGCCACTAGATCTATTAATATCGATCAATCCCTAAATCATTACAAAAGATTATTATCATGGAGAAGTCATTTTATGTTTAATTACAGTAAATGCTTGCTGATTAATTGTTGAAATTTCAAAAAGGAGAACAATGTTAACCAAGAGAAACATTAAACTTAGATAGTTATCCAGGCAGAATTACATGTTTAACTAATTCAGTCGTCTTGAAGTATGCTCCCATATTTCAAATTCTAACGTCTGATCCATGACAGCACAAAAAAAGAAGATTTTGAGATATTTTCTCAAAATCTTTCAACTAAACTACTGAACATAGAGAAGAAACAAGGACTCCAGAAAATGTGATGGCCAGTCTTAACTCGCTGAAATCTATGAGCAAAAACTGGTGGGTCTGCTTGATTCAACTTCCACATAATTCTTACCTTATTCTTTCACATAATCCCACATAACTTTCATATTTGAACCACCTCTATTTCCATCTTGAAGTAAAAATGGAAATCCATTCCAAGGTTTTGGAATTCAAAGTTGACCAACATCTACAGAACGGCCCAAAAACTTTTGATTACTCAACATATTTTGATCTTAAACCCATCCTCAACCATTCTACTATTATAAATCTAGTCCAACACTAATTATTTGACCAAAAAAGTTTTGCTAGTGGCACTCTAACTTCAGTAACTGCTACATCAAAATGCCAACCACAGTTGATGTGGATCCAAAACACAAACATTTCGAGGATTCTCTAGGAAGCTATAATAGCATTTGTTTCTCCCAGCAATTGGGAGGGAAAAAATTAATCTTGCATCAGTACATCATAATTTGTGACTGTAACTGAGCATGATTGAAGTTGGCAAGACATGTGTTTGTTTTGAAATCTCATCCTTAGGCTTTATTCTTAAGGGGAAATGAAGAGGAAAGCAGAAGATAGTAATCATTATTGCCACTGTCATACTTTACTCAAGAGGCACCTTCATATTTTTTCCTTCTGATAAATCAAGGGTTGCAGGGCAGAAAGTAGCATACAACTCTGCATATCATCGAAACAAGCACAGATTCCAGATGTCCACTGCGTTGGTCTGCTGCTTATGTCCTCTGCAACTGCAACATCTTCATTATGTGGAAGAATATCTGCTTCCAACTCCGACTGGTCCAGCGGAACATAAGGTGGTGGCACATAACTGCTTTTGCCTTTCATCCTAGCATAAATATCTTTCAAGCAATCTGGCAGTATCTCTAACAAAAACAAGAAAACCCTAAAATAAATAAACTTAAGCTCAACAAGAATGTAATTATTTATGTATAGTGTACTAAAGAAGTAAAATGCACATTAAAAAGACATAACTATTCCAACAACAATCTTCAAACGTAAACAAACAACACGGGCTTGTCATAAAGGTGACAAGAAGAGAACAGTTCAATAAAGAGACAGGTTTTTGTTTCTAATATTTGAATTCCTGTTGACATGATCCAACAATTTGCAGTAAAATGCTTATCTCTGTCATCAATTGTATCTGAAAAGCCAAAGGATTGAATTACTTGCTCCACGATGAGCGTTCAATGAACCCTAAGATTTTCCCGTTCATATATTATATAGGTTCGCAGCTTTTTCCTTTTTTCCTTTTTTCACCATAGTTTAGAGAAAAACCTAGCTCTGTCTAAAACCCATAACAACAAAAATTAGCGGCAGCAATTTATTTTTCCTCACCGAAATCTATAGCTTGTTCTACTTACTCTGAGGACAATTGCGAGTGATACTAAAACCAGTAATCGGTTCTTCTATTCGTTCCGAATTTAGCTTTTGTTATTTCGCCATGATTTCGTGTAAGAAATTCAAGGAAATGGCTCATAAATTTGTAAAACGCTTGAATACAATGTTAAAACGCTTGAATACGATGGACATAGAAACTATAAGAGAATTGAAAATTCAAACCCTAGATCCTCACGTACCTGGGAATTGGAATGCTCGCTGATCAGCTGTCGCTAAAAAGGGTTTCCAGCTTTCTACAATTAACGTACACGAAGACTCGAAGCACCACTGACAGCCTCATATAAATAATTTTTTTTTTCTTTAAAGGAGTTTTTTTTTTTTAATAATAGTAATCATAATATTACTATTTTTAAATAAATAGAGAGGTAAAAAAAAAGTTTGATGAGGCAAAAAAGTCAGCCAGCTGATTCGTCGAAGCATGTATGGTCAACGAGAAGGAGACAGCGGCCTGGTCTCGTCTCCTTCTCAAGTTCACTGGTGAAGACGATCGAGTTAAGCTGCTAAACAAACCAAACAATAGCGAATGCAGATGAGCAGATGTCGGCAAAGGCGTTCGATGGCGGATCGTCGACGAGACGGAAATTTCTCACGGA